GCGGCTCAGGATGGTGGGCAAAAGATTTTAAGAAAATATTTTCATATGATATAAATATATTGAGTCTTTTTTTGGTATTCAATATCACATCCATTTTTTATGAAATTATGGATTTTGTCAAATGATAAAATACTTTCAAAATATATTATTAAAAGAAGCCCTAAATGTTATACCAGAGTACTTAAACTATAACACCATAGATTTAACATCTAATAAAGAAAATGATGATTTTTTTTTTGGTAAAATAAATGTTGCTGAGTTCAATAAAACAAATAACATTGAACTGGAGGTTTTAAATTCTATTAAAGAAAGTCGAAATACATTTTAAATTCTTAATTATTATCCTTTCATTAAGAACTTTTGTTAAAATATATACTGAAATACCTTCATCAGCTCCAAATGAAAGATTATTTAGTTTTGGCACAATGTTAAGTACGCCGAACGGTAAAGGTCTAATGATAAATTATTTGAAAAATTTGATTATTTTATAAAATAAAGAATCTATACTAGTCTCTCTTCCCTATCTATGCTAAGAATGGTCTAATACTAATATTAAAATGCCTAATTATTATAATAAACTCATTATTAAATATTTTATTAATTATTGTAAATATTCATTCTTATTATATGCGTATGCTATGTTCTTCACAAATAAATAATAAAAACTGTATTTTATAAACTATTCTAATTTAATTGGCAATGATAATAAAGTATCTTATATTTAAGATACTATAATTTTTTTATAAAGAATCTCTATCTGTATCTAGATTCTTTTTTCCGATGGACCTGCCCAACTCTGGTTCTAGTTCATCATTTTATCTACCCTTGAATAATATTGATAATGATTTTATTTTTCTTATTGAAAACAATCATTACAATAATAATTTAAATATTTTCCATTAAATTAAAATATTTTTAATAATAATGATAATAAAAATATTATTACTCAAATATAAGTAATGACATTAGAAATTGCTAAAGATTCATCAAAGAATATATACAATAAAGCCAATATATTCAAAACAAAATTATTTTGCTATTTATTAAAAAATGATTTAAAACCAATAACCCAATTTGAATTATTTAATAAATAATACTTATTATCGAAAGGGATCCATGTCCAACCTACAGCCAATGACATTAATACTATAGACTGCCGATCGTAATGCTAAATTCAAATATGAAGTGGCAAAAATTGAATTGAGTAGCAGCCATTTTGTGTTTGGAGCTTTTAGGAAAGAAACGTATGATAATTTCATAAATTTCAGATTTATTTTTATAATGTATTATATTTATAATCTTATATGTTTTACGATGAATAAAAAACATTTTTAGAGCATTTATGGTTATACTGTGTTGATTATTGCCTAATGTAATCAAAAATTAAAATTAGATTTTAGACAAAAATTTAACAGAACTGTACTTTTTCAAGGGCATAAATCAAGTATCATATAAATATGTTATTTAACTTGAATATTTATAGGTCAAGGAAAAATTATGGTGATTATTTGACACTTTATACCATATACTTTTGATTATAATAATACATTTATTTTATTAGAAGTAAATATAAAATATATATATTATTTGTATTTATTATTGTAAAAATTTATAAGATTATTTTATTTTTCACAATATACATATTAATTATTGATTTGTGTACCTTAGTGAATTAAAATTAAATAAATATATTTAGAAATGGATAGTTATAATTTTTAAGGAATAACATAATTCAAAGCAATAATAAAATATAAAAAGACTTATAAATTATAAAATATAACCTCTTTTTATTTGCTAAAAAAATAAATACAAAAGAAATAATATCAAATTTTTTTTTAATATAATTCAAAATATTTATCAATAAAATAATATATATTCAATTTTGTTTTTGGAGTAATTTCTAAAATTCCAAATCACATGTTAAATATTTTCATAGCAAATCTGACATAATAATTTTTACAAGAAAGAATAGGTTATTAATATAAGCTGCATCTTTAGATTTAATTTGAGATAATATACTTATGAAAGGAAATTTTGCTTCCTGAACAATATTTTTGGTTACAGCCATATGCACTACAATATATTAACATTTTCTTAAAATATAAAAAATATATTAAATTTTATAATAAATTCCAAATCATAATATATCTTTCCTCACTTTGATTTTTGTTATTGAATATATATAAAAAATATTCATTCTAACTTGATAAGTCTAAATATATTTTAAAATCTTAAAGATATTCATGAAGTATTAAAGAAAACAATAATTCCTTACTTATCTGGAAATGACAAAATTTTAAACTTTATTCTTATTAGTATAGAGATTTTCTTTTATATTGATTAGTCTATATAAAATATTAAAGATATTCATTAAGTAATAAACTGCAAATGTTAATAAAGAGCAGGAATTTTTAATTATATTCTCATCAATAGGTATAAATTCTAACTTGCTTAGTCTAATAATATACATTATGTATTAAACATCACCTTTACTTTCTCTGTAAATGTTAATAAAGACCAGAAAATATTTAAACAACTATAAATTACTTGCTCTAAAAATGTTTTTTTATTCATCTAGTAAAAAAATATGATTATAAATATAATGTATAATAAAAAGAAATCTGAAATTTATGAAATTATCATACGTTTCTTTCCTAAAAGCTCCAAACACAAAATGGCCGCTACTCAATTCAATTTTTGCCACTTCAAATACATTAATCGGCAGTCTATAGTATTAATGTCATTGCCTACAGCTTTGGCTAGATGAGAAAAAATAAAACACAACTAAAATACTGGGTAACCTTTTTTCTTTCTTTATTTGTATATTAATATTTTTTTTATATATTTTATATGGTTGAATAAATTTATTTTTAAAATTATAATAGATTTATTGAAATTGCGAATAATTTTTGTTCACAATTATTTATATTTAAATCGAAGATATTAAATTTGAGCTTAGTTGTTAAAGAACTACAGGTAAGTAGATTTGAAAGTGTTTGAATTCTTTTTATTTATTAACCCAATATCTTATAAATAAAAGCTAATATATGGTCATTGTAATTTTATTTAATATTTATATTTAATATTTTAGCAATAGTGTGAATTAATTGAAATCCTTCTGTTTAAATTAAATACAAATTAATCACTAATAAAATATAATAAAATTTTTTATTAAATATTTAAAAATAAAAATAAATACAATGCTAAATATAATATGAAAAATTGCATAGGAAATAACAAATTAGGAGACATTGTATTACAATTGAAATAAAATTAAGAGGGGAATGAGTTAATAAGGCAATGGAAATTTGATTTGATGACTTGGATTGCAAGTTTTTGACAAAGATAGAATCTTTCTTTAGAATTTTTTGTTTTGACTGAAATTTGTCTGCCCAATTTTTTGATTAGGTCTTTAGCTTGAGAACCAAAAGTGGTCCAGATGACTGGTATAAAATTAAATTAATAAGAGATGCATACATATTTATCATATTTTAATTTTTCTGTCGCTGGTTTGATGGATCCTTACTTTTATAATACAATCAAAATTTAAATAATATAAGCTTCATATCATGAAATATTCAGAGGACATTTAATCTTTATCTAGTATTTAGAATACAATATTAAGCCAAAATAATTTGCAAGATCCTATCATTATAAGCCTAAATTTAAATTATGAAGAATGGGAAATTTTACCTTTTGTTCCTTATATTAATGCTAAAAGAATACTAGTAATTTACACTAAAAACAAAATTAAAATGCAATTTTTATATAAATTTACCTCAATAATTCTATGGTTTATTTTTAAACCCTTGCTAATGAAGAGATTTAAAAATATATATGAAAATAACCTTAAAAAAAGAGTGCTCAATATTTATCAACACGATGATCTTGCTATACACATAAGCAGAGTTTCAACTTAAATAGGCTAACTTTTTATAAATTTCTAAAATTATCAAAATGGGTAAAATGATTAAATCGAAAATTAGCAAAAAATTAATTAAATACGAAATTTTTTAGGGGGCACTCAATTGGATTTATATAATAACGCCGCCAAATCTGAACAAGCTTGGAATTAAATGGTATCTGCAGTTTTTGATGGTCTCTAAGAAGGAGTTTATTACTTAATTGTTTATAAAAATACATAAAATATCAATTTTTACAAGCAAATTGTTTTAAGTCGGGAATGGAAGCAGATGACAAATACCATATGTATCAGACTCACCATCTGAGCTTCCAAACAATTTTTTATAAGTAACAATTTCTATAGTTTATTAGAATTAAATTTCACGTAAAAATAGTGCACGGTAACAATAAAATTATGATTGCCAATGCCAAATAATATTATGAATATTAGGCTTAATAATCTTTTTGATGAAAATTATAATAACTGCGAATATCATTAAAATAAATGTTTGATTAGCCCCTCTTACGTTTGATGTCTGTGAAAATTAGTTGAAAAAATAAAATAATATTTTGTGCAGACATTGGACAGTCAACTGTCAATAGAATTTATTTAATGACAGTATATGTCATTGAGATCGGATTTATCAATGCAATTTTTTTAAATTTAGAAATATGCTATGCTTGAACGTTGAATGGCAATATATAATGTAAATTTTTTTTAGTATTAGTAATTAAAATTTTTGTGAAGAAAAAGTTTATCATTTTGCTTGGATTATTATTTTTGATAATAAGTTATATATATCATTCAGTGAATCTCCCTAAGTATATATCTTATGAAGATTTGCAAAGACCCCAAGAGTATTGCATTTCATCAAAAAGTAAATATCTTACAATTCCGAATAATTTAATTATCATATAAAGTGAATGAAAGTATAAATATTGATGAGATAACAAAACTTTTATATCGTCAACCTAAATATGAATATATTAATTCAGATACAATATGTTATAGAAGTAAAGTTGCGATTATAATACCTCTTAGAAATAGATATGAACATTTAAAAATTTTGTTAAAATTCTTGCATATATTTCTCGAATTAAAGTATATACCTTATAATATATTTGTTGTAGAACAAGTATATTTTTATAATCTGGTTTAGTAATAATCACTGTTATTTAGACATCTCATAATATATTTAATAAGGGAAAATTAATGAATTTAGCATTTAATTATATCACAAAAAATTCAATTTTACCCAAATCATCTGGTGAAATATATGAATGCTTTATATTCCATGATGTTGATCTTATACCACAAATCTCACCAATTGATGAATATTTTGATCTGTATAAATATTTTATTTATAATTGCTCTAATAGTAACCCCATTCACATATCTTCATCTATTGATGAAATGCGATACAAGTTAACCTAAAACATTTTGTGAAATTTTTTTGTTTTTCAATTTCTTCTAAGAAATAAAAATTTTATTATATAGTTTCTCTGGCTTGCTCTTTTCTAAACAAAATAAAAAGAGAAATATAAAATTCATAAATGTTATCATTGGTAAACTATGATAGCATTAACAATTCAAGAAAAAAAATATCTGAATATGAAAAATTAATTATTATTTTAAAAAATGACTTTTTTTATATAAGCATTGGCCATATATCTATTGGCAAAGAAATATGATATGCTCTCAGATTAAATCTATCTTAAGATGCAAAAATACTAAGGCATGCTTTAACTTTAATATTATTTTATTAATTAAAATAATTATCAGTTATTTCATGAATTTTAAAAAAATTAAGATTTTCTCAAGTTATAATTTGATTAATCATGTGCATATCAAAATAACATAAAAAGCTTGATATATCCCACTCTTGTTGGTGGGATTTTGTCTTTCACACCCACTCAATTCATCAAAACAAATGGATTTTCTAATCTATATACCCGTTGGGGTGCAGAAGATGATGATATGTCTAAGAGGTTTAATTTATCTTATCTAAATTTATTTTTTATTAGTAATTGAATAACAAAATAAGATAATAAAATTTAAATTGATTAATTTTATTCAATCAATAACACAAAACAGTCATAATTACAAATTTGTTTAATATAAAAGTAGTCATAATTAATATAAAAAAACTTGTGGTTATAGATTTATTTAATATAAAAATATTGGTATTTCAATAACATAATTACTATATATATATATATATATACTAAACAAAAATATTATAATTTGCATAATACACAAGAAATCATTATAATTTATGTAAACATACATTTAAATTATGTCCAAAATTTAATTATGCAAATAACATCTATTATATAATTCCCAAAACATAATTTATAACGAGGGCTGTATTATGAGGAGGTGGGCTAATCGCCCCCTAATTTATTTTTAGCCTCCAAATGAGGAGGGACTGAACCTATCCACGAAAATTTTTTCAAATTGAATCCCTTTTCTCTTAATTATTGTTTTAAATATTTTAGTCAGAAATAAAAAAAATTTCTATCTACATAAGTAGGCTGTGCCGATCCACATATTTTTCACTGATCCAATATTGGCTCAAAACCGATCCAATATTTATATTGATTTTTCACCATCCCCCTTTGAACCAAATGTAATTAAGAAATCAATATTTTTTATTTCTACAATAATTAAAAAAGTTTACGGATATTGGTAGTATAAATGAATTTTTCATTAATTCTCCCCATGAAATTAGAATTCCGCAGATAATGCATTTGCAAAATTATCTTTGTCTTTTGTAAAATATTTCCATAATTCAGATACTATATTTTAAAAAATTCTTTTATTTATAGTATAAATAATAAAATTGGCGTTATTTAAAAAGATTTAAAAAAAAATAAAACTTTGGGTGTTCCTTTCTATTTTTATAAAAAAACTTTAAAAAATAAAATATAAGATAAGGAGTGTTGTGCATTTGCATTGTTAAAAAAAATTATTTAGAAAATATTCTTAATGTAAAATAAATATACATATAATAACAAAAAAAAGGAAAAGTAAAAAGATAGGTATCGGCCCGATCCAATATTTTTGGAAAACGCTATCGGCACAGTCCTATACATAAGATAGAGAAGCAAAAAGTTTTATTTTTCAATATTTATATTTTATTATCAACTAAAATAATTATTTTGATACCTCATTTTAACAATTTTTATAGAAAAAAATTCAGGTTAATAAATTGTATAAATTTTTCAAAGGCTAATAAAAACTGTAATGATTTCAGAAGATTCAATAATAATCAACAGGTTTTTTAATTTTTACTTTACTTCAGCATGGAGTCGGCATCTCTCAAATAAAAATTTTAAAACATCTAATTTATGTCGATTGTTATAGCATTTTCATCTCCAATTAGCACCTCTTTTATTAGCTTCGTTTTAAATTATTATTAACTCGAATTTTTTTAATATTCATAAAAATTATTAAAACGAGAGAAATAAAAATATGAAAGGGACCAAATCAAAAAATTATTAGGGGACCTTAGCCCTACCTAAACCCCCTCTTCTCCCAAGCCAATTATTTGAAAGAATATTTAGATGTCTATTATTTCTGAAGTTTTCAGTGTTGCTCATTTTGCAAATATGTTTTATGATTATTTTTATTTATTTTGAAAAAGAACCCATATATTAATTCAACCTAAACCCGTATCCTAATTTTGAAACCAGTAATTGGTTTATACATTATAATTTTTTTAAACATATTAATGAGCTAGCTATTTGAAAAAACACTAGAATACTGGATACTGGTATGAATATTACGCATTTACCACTCAATTACGGGAAATTCCATATGATTAGACATGCAAAACATGAAAAATCGAAGAATAGGTTATATAATCAACTCACATTTTTTACATGAACAAATTTGATTATCATATTGTTAAATAATAATAAATTTCGTTTCCTCTAGATGTAGGAAGAAAATGTTTACCAAACTATTGAAAATAAAATCTTATAAATTTACTAAATTCTTTGGATATTATATGACAATCCCTTTTGCATTTATCTTATTTTGACCCAGAAATGTGTGATAATAATTATTTTATATTTCAAAATAAATAGAAATGAATTACTAAAATACTGGACCAGATGGAGATACGACGGTCTAAACTCGCTTAATAATTCCTTGTCATTAATTAAAAAAAAGTTTGGTCAAAGTCTCGAATTAATGAAACTTTTGTCAACAGATAGCAGCTATCAAGATTTATTAAAAGAAGAAAATTTATTTAAAAATAACGAAATGGAAAAAATTGGTTATAGTATAAGATTAGATCTGACTAATGTCCTTAGTTATATTAATATCTCAATTCGGCTTTATTGATTTTTCATTTTGTAATGCAACCATGGATAAAAAAAAATAATTTATTTTTTGAAAATATTAATATTATTCTCAATTATTGGTATGTATTTATATATAAAAAATATTATTTCATTTTTATATATAAATGCAATATAGAAGATCGTCATAAAAAAGGAACAATGACATTATATGAATTGTCAAATAAATATATTAATTATTAAATATTTTTAGGTATAAACAATTTTACTATATATATATATACTAATAAAAATTGTGATAGTCGCAAAAAATACTATTAACGTGTATTTTATAGTGTAAATATATCTTTATGAAAAAGGGGGAAATTAAAATTTATTAATAATATAATTAATATATGGATTTAATTATATCGACCTCCAAAGAGTTTTTTTTGTTTCTAAATTGAATATTTTGTTATAATTTTAATGTATTAAAATGTTGTGGGGAAAAAGGTTAGTTTGATTTTACTTTAAAATACCTTATTAAGTATGTAGGAACGTGATGTTAATAGACTAAAGCGATCATTTCAAAAAGTGTCAGATTCTAACTGTTTCGAGAATCATGTTAGTACAACTATTATAATCTTTTAATAAAAATTATTCCTATCTTTGATATTTTTATTAGAACTGCTTTCGAAATTGGTGGTGTTAGGGGAATAATTTGTTATGCTAATATATTCTTCCGTTTCAAGAGATTGAAAATGTTGTTTAGCGTTTTTGATATTTAGCATGACCAAAGAGGAAGCTAAATGTTTGAAAAAAATAAAATAGAATCATAATTTTTTATAGAAATACTTTTTTTAATTAAAAAATAAAAACAGGCGACCTGAAAAATTGATATATATTAACCCATGAATGGCCAAAGTATAAAATCAATTTTTTTCTCAAAAATGGATTTTATGAGGGCCCCTCCTTTTTAAAATTGGGGAGCGGGAGTTAGCTCCTTTTAGGGCTGGAGTGGAGGAGCACCGCTCCTTTAAATTTAATGCATAAATTAAATTATTTTTTAAATATTAATAATATTTATCAATTAAAATTTAATAAAAATGAAATTTTATTAAATTTAAATTTATCCATTATTAAATGTTTAGCCGAGTTTTATATTGGCTTTTCATCTAATCATTTTAAATATTAAACATCAAGTTTTCCTTTTTATATTAAAAATTTTTTGGAAAATCTTGTAAGTCATATTAATATTCATTTTATAGATATATAATAAAAAATAGTTTTAGATATTAAGGATTTAGAGATCATATATGAAGAAATCAAATTTCCATTTCCATCATACAAAAAATATTTTAAACTTCTAAAAGATGTTGATTTAACTGATCAAACAAATTTAAGGGCAAAATGTCTTTTGTGTTTAAATAAAACTATTTAATTTTCAAAAGTGAGCAGCTTCAATCTAAAAATGCATATAAAAGTAAAAAATCTTTCTTTTATATACAAATTGATTTGGAAGATTTTTTGGATTCCATGAAATTGATCATCAGGAAGATAATATATTGGACAAATATTTTTTAATTAATGATACCAAAATTACTATTTTTGATAAATTCTTTGAATTAAAAAATATCTTTATAAAATACAATACCCCGCTTTCCCCTAGTGCTCCTGTGGATTTAGTATTGCAAAACAGGTCTTAGGGGAGAGGCGTGGATGTTTGCTAGATTCTAATTTAGAAAATTTATTACTTTTAAAAGCTAATAAAAGGTTATAAATATTTTGATAGATCATTTAATATAAATAAAGCTTTTTGATAAAAAAAATATGTTTTTGTTTTGTATACCTTCTAAAAAAATGAAAATCAAAGGAGCGGTCATGGTGTGGCACTCCATTACTTGGAGCGGGAGCTAGCTCTTTTAAAAATGTAGTAGCGGGAGATAGCTCCTTTTGAGAAGGTAGGAGCGGGAGCTAGCTACTTTTAAAAAGGAGCGTTAACAACTGTTTAAAATGTAGTGAAATATCATGAATAAATTATGGCATTTTATTTATTTATCTTTATTAAGAAGACATCGTTATCTAAGTATGAAAAAGTAAATTTTACAAATAAAATCAAATTTACAATTTGAAAAGATAGGTCTCGTTATAAAATACAAAAAAAAATTTAATTGCACGAGTTTAGGTAGTTATAGATAATGAACATGTAGTATAAATTCTGATTTGGAAATAACTTTGATGTTCTCATATATTTAATCTACCCTAATGATTTAGAGGTAAAAAGGCGAAAAATATTTTAGAAATCAGTATTTTTTTACACTATTAAGAAGGATCCTAATGAGGTTAAATAGATCACACGGAGAGATGGTATCTGTTGCATTATGCAAATGATTATTATTATGCAAACGATTATTTTTAATATTTAAGCAAAAAAGAAAATAGATTTGATATGAAATAAGTTCAATTATAGATGATTCAAAGTTATGAAATGTATTATAATTATATGAACAAGTATAGAAATTATAGTTTGTAATATTATTCAAATTGAAAAGATTATATGCATAGATATATAAAGCTTGAAAAAAATCAGAAATGATTATTATATATTATCTTTAAATAAATCAATTATTCTCGACCTCATAGTCCTTCGCTAACACACACGACTCTTAAAAGTGGTGCCGGAGAAAGGAAAATATAAAATAAAATTGAACCAGGGAAGGAAAAGTTCACAAAGGAAAAATTAAGTAAAAAATATTATAAATCAATGAAATATTTATGTTATACGGTATTATTAATAATTATAGTTTTTCTATATTCGTTTAATGTCAGTGGAATATTTAAACTTTTTTTAATTAAATTTTTATTAAGTACTCTGTAATATATATTGCACAATATGTGGAATTTTTTAATAGATAACATTTTGTTAATAGTTCTTGTTTTGATGTTTTTAGTTTTTGCATTAGGTATAACAATAGGAAGATTTACGGCTTATATTAAAATAGATAGTAGAGAAGTAGAAAAATTGAGGTATTTAATAAGAGAAGATAAGGTAAGACATATAGATAATTATCGACAGATAAGGTGCTATAATTGTGGTCAGCCGGGTCACATGTCGCGACAGTGTGAATTAACCAAAGATTTAAAATGCGCGAGACGTGGCAAGAATGGCCACTTAGCAATAAGATGTAGAATGAATAATTTGATCATGAGATGTACTAATTGTGGTCAGGAAGGACACACACAGGAAAAGTGTAAGATTTGACTAGAAAAGAATTTTGATTTTTATGATATAATTTTGTTAATAATAAATTTTTTAATTATGTTAATTATAAATCATGTAATAATATAGAAGTAGAGATAAAATGAGAGATATAAATATAGAAAATGGAAATTTTGAAATATATAAAACAAATAATATGATTGATGAAGAGGTACGAAATATAGAAGTAGAAGGTTTTTTAAAGAAGAATAGATGCCCGAGAATTAATATAAAGATTAAGGAAGTAGAAATATGTTTTTTATTGGATATAGGAGCGGAGATTAGTCTGATGAGTATAAGGGATTTCAATAAATTTTGGCCAGAAGAAGAATATGTTGTAAGAGAGATAAGAGCCAAACAATTAGATGGTAGCATTGTGAAAATTTTAGGTTATTAAAGGATAAGGTTGCCTGGAATTAATAAAGATATAACGTTATGGATAACTACCTTAAAGATCGAGCCAATTTTAGGTTGGTGTGACATAAAAACGATAGGTCCTATTTATAATTGGTGGAATTTTTTTGAAACAGTTTCTGAAATTAATGAGACAAATAGCAATATAATAAAGAGTGATTTTGATAAAATTAAGTTACCTATGATAAAAGATAAACAAGATGTAATTCTCGATAAACTTAGAAATCGATCTCCAGAAATTTTGATTAGATATAGAGACAAAATAGAAGAGAATAAAGTATTAAAAGATATTAAATTAATAGAGGTAACTTCAGCTGAAATCAAAAAACAGATAATGGTGAATAAAGTAGAACAGGATGAGACTGTTGAAGAGAAATGCAAGAAGGAAATATACATTATTTTATTTAGGTAAGTACAAGGAAGTTTTTAAAGAAGAATTAGGTACTCTAAAAAATGTTGAAATAGATATAAAGTTATTAGAAAATTACCAGGCTAAATTTTGTGGATCAAGAAGATTACCGTTTTCTTGGATAGAAGAAATTGATAAGGAATTGGTTAAAAGAAGGTATAATACGGCCAATAGTGCATAGTGAATGAGCCACACCGTTAGTCCCCGTAAGAAAACCAGATAATAGTTTAAGGTTATGCATAGATTATAAAATTTCGTTAAATCCTTTACCGAGAATAGAAGAACTATTGGCAAATTTAAAAGGAGCAACATATTTTTCGAAGATAGATTTCTCTAACGCATATTTACAGATTAAGGTGAGTGAGAAAACAAGTAGAATGTTAACAATTACAAAACATAGAGGTTTATTTGCTTTTTGTCGTTTACCATTTGGATTGAAAGTATCGGCTCCGATATTTCAAAGAACTATGGCTGCGTTATTTCAGGGATTAAAAGGAATAATGTATTATTTAGATGATGTTTTAATATCTAATAGAACAGAAGAAGAGCACAATACTAGATTAGTTAAAGTGTTAGGTAATATATTAGAAAATGGTTTAAAAGCTAATATGAATAAGAGTGTTTTTGGAGTAAGAATAAAGTATTGAAATTACTCCATTTGCAAAGAATATAGATAAGATAATAAACATGAGAGCACCAAATAATAAAACTGAATTACAGGCGTTTTTAGGAGCAACGAATTATTATCATCGTTTTGTTCAAAATTTTGCAGAAATTGCCACACCGTTGTATGAATTATTAAAGAAAAATAAAAGGTTTGAATGGGGAGAAGCACAGGAGGAAAGTTTCGAAAAATCGAAAATAAAGATGGTAGAGAAACCGATTTTAAATTGTTTTAATGAGAATTTAGATATTATATTAGCAGTAGATGCTTCTAATGAAGGTATAGGAGGAGCTTTACTACAGATGACAGATAATGTTGAGAAACCGATTTTATTTTAATCAGGACGGTTTAGTAGCACTGAGAAAAATTACTCCACGATCGAGAAGGAGGCTCTTGCTGTGAAATTCGGGCTAGCGAAATGCAATGAATATCTGATTGGAAGAAGGTTTGTCTTATATACCGATCATAAGCCTTTGGTAGATTTATTTAAAAAAGTAAATAAGGAGCTTATGATTTCACCAAGGTTACAAAAATGGTTAATTTTAGTTGGTAATTTCGATTTTGAGATAAGATTGCGGGTAAACAAAATTGCTTACCAGATATATTATCGAGATTGTTTAATAAAGATATCGAAGACAAAGATCCAGTAATCAATAGTTTAGAATATATAGAAGAAGAATTAAATAATAAGAGTTTTGAAGATAGATACAAGAGAAAAACCCAGAACTTTTGAAATAGTAGGAGAGATATCCAAAAAAGATGAAGAATTAATAAGAATTAGAACTTGTTTGAAAGGAGATGCAGAATGGAAAAGTGAAGACAAAGCATTTAAGAATATAAGGAGTGAATTAAATATAGATGACAATTGTTTATTGAGAGGATATCGATTAGTGATACCCAATAAGTTAAGAAAAGATACATTAGCTGTAAGGACATCAAGGCATAGAAAGAATAAAGAATAAAGCAAGAGAATACATTTGGTGGCCCAAGATGAATAGTGAAATAGAAGAATTAGCTAAGAGTTGTGAAACATGTAATATGTGTGCAAATTTACCAGCAAGAAATAAGGAAGATAAATGGCCAGAAACAAATGTGCCTTGTGAAAGAATACACATAGATTTTTTAGAATATGAAAGAAAGAAATATTTTATTATGGTAGATGAAGGTTCAAAATGGATAGATTGCCAACAGGTATCAGGTCTATCAACAAAAATAGCTTTGGATAAAATAAAAGATTTTGTAAGTAAATATGGATTAATGAAAACCTTAGTATCCGATGGTGGTCCGGCAGAGCATTTGATAAGTTTTGTGATAGATGGAAGATTGAACATTTATTATCTCCACCATATTATCCAAGAAGTAATGGACAAGCTGAACGAATGGTAGCTATAGTTAAAAATTGGTTAAAAAAAGAAAAATATGGAAAGGGAAAATGGTGGTTATTATTATTAGCATATAACAAAACTAAGACTAGCAAAGGGAATTCACCAGCAGAGATGTTTTTAGGTAGAAAAACAAGAACTGAATTAGATTTTTTGAAAGAAAAAATAAAACAAAAGGATTATACATATGAGGAAAAATTTAAAGTTGGAAGTTTAGTATGGATTCTACTTTTTGATGGTCCAATTAAATGGGGGAAGGGTATAAGTAAGAATATAGGAAGAAAAAAGGTAGAAGTAGAAATTGAAGGACAAGAAGGAACATATGCAAGGCATATTAAGCAATTAAGACCTAGGTGTGTAGGTTGGGAACGATGAGTATTAAAATTGATGATAAACATAATGGATTTGTTTGGTATAACAAGTGATAATTATAAGAATTTTAAGTGTTGATGATAGACATAATTGATTTGTTTTAACAAGTTGGGTAAAATTACGAAAATCATAACTGAGGGTAATTGAAAATTGATGATAAACATAATAGATTTGTTTTAGGTATAACAAGTGATAATTATGAGAATCATAATTTTGTGTTAAAATTGATGATAAATATAATTAATTTGTTGATAAACAAGTGACAATTATAAGAATCATAATTTTAAATGTTAATGATATACATAATGGATTAGTTTTGGTGTTAACAAAACTGAAGAATTATGAGAATCATAGATGTGGAGAGTTTAAATTATAAAAGAAAATCAGATTTAAATGTAGAGATAATATGTGGTATGATTATAGGATAATATATATATATATATGTATAGTTTAATTCTGTTTTAGATGGCTTCCTATTTTAGAGTAGGAAATAGGATTATAAAAATAGAAATCGATGGATCAGTAGAATTTAGGAATTGGTTAAATGCAGCAAGGGAAGAGGTGCAACATCGATATGGAGAGATGCTACAGGAATCCACTAAACGAATGAGTGTCGATAAAAGATGGAATTCAGATATGGTGAAAAAAAGAAAGATAGACTGCTGGTCATGTAGAGGAAACCACATGATGCGCGTGTGCCCAAATATTTATGTGACTAATAACAATGCTTTATTGTCGTTATCGGCAGAAACAGGAGACAATAATACAATGCTAGATAAGGACTCAGGAAGAGGTGGAGGACTTCCTTAAGTACGGGGGTGTTGCATTATGCAAATGATTATTATTATGCAAACGATTATTTTTAATATTTAAGCAAAAAAGAAAATAGAGATATGAAATAAGTTCAATTATAGATGATTATTCAAAGTTATGAAATGTATTATAATTATATGGACAAGTATAGAAATTATAGTTTGTAAACAAATATTATTATTCAAATTGAAAAGATTATATGCATAGATATATAAAGATTGAAAAAAATCAGAAATGATTATTATATTTTTATTATATACGAAATTGTATTTTTAAATTAAATTTATTGTTTTTTACATTAATTAAATTCATTATATATTATCTTTAAATAAATCAATTATTCTCGACCTCATAGTCCTTCTCTAACACACACGACTCTTAAAAGTATCCAAGTATAATTAAGTCAATAACCAATGCGAAGAAACCTGACAATATATAAAATAATTTACCATTATATACCAGCCTCAAAAGATGATAATTTCTTAAATTCTTGAATGTATTTCATGGAAATCATCAAACATATAAGATTGTGCAGAACAATGATTAACACCAAGTCAAATCAGAACGTTCAATAAAATAATGTTTTCGCCTTTCATATTAAATAATATCTCGAATCTTGAGATGTGAATATCTTAAATAAAATTTTTGCAGGTGAAAATATTAAAGATATAATTCTAATCGCTAATCCACTCTATGGTTTAGCAGCTTCTGTACAAAAAATTGTTTTTCTCTTTTGGCCTAAGTTAATCCAAATTTAAAAACAGATTTAGAAAACTTTTCTTCTTAAATGTTTTAAGGATAAAATCTTAAAAATTTAATTTATCTTTACATGAAGGAATACCAGTTATATCATATTGATATGTTAGTGTTACATATATAAGATCAAATATGATAAATTAACATTATAACTTAGTTTTAAAGCTTAAAAATAATCACTAAATAATCTTCTATTAAAATAAGTTAAATAATATTCAAAATATATTTGTAGTAAAATGTTATGATTTATAAGTGATGAATTTTGATAATTATGATGTTCAATTAAAATAAAAAATTTTGATATTAATCAATTAAAAAAATTTACTTAATTTAATGAATCACTATTTAAATAATTGATTTTTATTTCCACATACTGTGGATGGCCATATTTTTTTGATACAATAGTTAAATTTATGCTCAAACCACTTAAATTTTTAACTATGCCACTGACTGATACCACGATTTATAGGTGTAAAATATTTTCGTGTAAAGTAAATTATCTTAAGAATCAACGATAAGAAATTTTGATATAGTAAATTTTCGCTATTTTAGCCAGCGACATACGTAAAGATGAAAAGTATTGACCGATAAATTTAATATTTAGGATAATACAAGTGGGTGCAACCATATTGTCAAATCAACTATAAACGACTTAATTCTTATTTTTGTATTTCATGACGGACATGCTCGATCCGACTGAGTTCAAGTTTGGTCGGGCACTACCGTTTTATTTTTGTGAAACAAAACCTCTCCGTTTGAGCCTATTTTAAAAACGGCTAATTCAATTATATCCAGAAAATATTCGTGAGCCTGACGATTTTGCGTTAGCCATTTTTAAAAACGGGCTCTAATGGAACGATTTTGCACCACTAACAAAGTTCTATTTGTACATTGCCAACCAGTAAGGTTATTTATGATAATTCTTTGAAGTTATAATAAGCATATATATATGATAATTTACGAATAGATGGGTCTGAAACATTTACCATAATATAGGTATTGGTCGTGAATAGGTCAATAAATGAGGCGAAATTCGAATTTCTTATTTCCATAGTGTAAAATGTAGTCCCAAATTTGCTAAACGTTATAGAAATAGAAAAATTATTTATAATGGATTATATTAAATTAATTCAATCAGTAGTTAATTATAAAGTAATATCAGTTGAATAATATAACATTTTTTGTTTTACTGTAGAAATATGCTAATCTAATAAGAATAATTTATTTTTCAAAAACTAGTTTATATATGTACTTAATTTATATCGGATAAAAACGATATGAAAATATTACGATTTAAATTTTTCAAATTTGAATAATACAGTGGATTTATAAATTTACAGTATTCTTAAGCCTAATTGGATTCTTAAAATAGTTATTATTTAGTGTTGTTAAACGGCTTATGCCGATTTTTAAAAACGGTTAAATTAATATTTAATCGCAAAAAATATTAAGCAAGCCTGAAGATTTTACCATAAGCGGCACAAAGGTTAGGACATCCATTCGCAAAATCTGGAGGCTTAGGCAATATTTTATAGCTAAAATGAGTTAGCCGTTTTTAAAAACTATTTTTAACTGAAAATACTTAGGAATGCACATACCGCACTCAAAAAGTGGCATAATAATTTAAAATTATAATAGACTGCTGTAAAACTCTTTATCACTTAAAATAATATATTATGACTTAAATTAATGGAAATATAATGAGATTCAAAAAAAGAATAGGTTCATAAGAAATATATTGCCCACCTGCAGCTCAATTTGAACTGTTTTATTATATTAGAAACTTTTTCAAATCTGTTAGGATCTTTGTGCTCCTTCATTTGACAATGGGATATCATCTATATAAATAGATAAAATCATACAGTTAATTTGATGTTTCATTTTATTTTCGTATAACAGTTGTGCGCCGATGAAAAAATTCGGCGGCGGCGTTTCACTTCGATAGGCAACGCGCCAAATTTTTCATCACCTTAAAAAACTATTTGCAATTTTTCTTACTTAATTTTTAAAAATCTTTTATGAACACTAAATTTAATCATTTATTTGAAATAAAGTTAATTTTTCTAATACCAATATTATACATTAAATTATTAGAATTATAGTTATCATGTAGAAAAATTATTTTATTAAAATTGGAAGGACATAGTGAGGATCTTCTTGAGTTTAAGGTTAGCCCAGTTAAAAGCTCACTAGGAATACATGTAGCTGGAACACAATATTTTTTGACTAAAACGGAGTCTATGCAGCTCTAATCTTCTCTTTTTCCAAAATGATAAAAGTTACGGGTGAAGATAAAGGAAAAATAATAAATACATCTTATTCTCGTTTTGCGGAGGACAATTAGATGAATGTCTATTCACTAACTTTTGTATGCAATCTGATTCACAATAAACATCTAGTTCATATTCTACCATTTCCATGTAAGTTAATAGTGTGGTAGCGTAATTGCATAAAAATCAAACAAAAGTAATTTTCCTTAATATAACTGTTCACTATGTTCATCTTTTGAAATCTGGAGTCTAAAAGTGAGGCCATTATCTTGTAAAAAATAAAACAATACCTTACGATCGGCAATTGAAAATCTATGATCCAATAATGAACATATGTTACTATTTCACTGCAAAATAATAAACCTAAGTTTATGGGCATTCTTTTTGAAAGAGTAGATATTCCACTAAATCCCAATCAAAACTAGACAATTTAAGGTAGTGCTCTTCAATTCTATTTAACATATTGGGGTATTGTTAGTGCAATTGCACTTTCGAGCATCATCAAAATGTCATGCCAATGTGTAGTAAATTTAATGTTAAAATTTTAGGATATTTGTCATGTATTTTATCATTATAGTAATTATAAGGTTCACAACACTCTCGATGAAAGGATCTTCAACTTCTAGATATAATATATCTAATGTAAGATCTATTGCCTCTAGACATTTTCTGTTCTCTGAATTAATTAAATCTTCGAGATCGAAGGTCTTGAAACTTAATGCAAATTTCTGATTTTTTTTATTAAGATTTTCAATTCTACTCAATTTCTTTATTCCATTCACGGTTATAAAGTTGTAATGTGTGTCCCAAAAATATGTCATTTTCATATTCACCTAACCAGCACTTCTCTTGATATTAGAGCCTGCATCCATGACCATTTAATTTTCTTAGACCTTAAATAACTTTATTCAACCATATTTCTAAAAGAATTGTTTCCCCAGATGTTTTGGGTTACATGATGATTATCTTTGTTTAATATTAATCAGAGACCTGCTGAGGTACCATTTGCATGACTCATCCCGGATTTTTTTTAAAAAATTTTTTTGCCCGGCCTGGGTATTATATTTTCAGGACCCTGATTTTTTAAAAATATATTTTATATTTTTAATTTTTATAGCTAATGACGATTAGTAATTTTTAGGCCCGGCCAGGGTATATTTATAAAATATGGTGCAGGTCTCTGATATAAATCCACCAAAATATTTCCAAACATTTGAGGATTTATTGGTTTTAAATGATATATTAAAATTATTTTAAATGTTTATAATATTTTTAAATTTTATGGGAATATTAATTTTAACAAATCAGATATTTTTTCATTTGAGTAAAAATAACATTTCCATAAAATTTATATTATATATTAATTTGTTATGGAAATTCCTTTTATATATTTGCATTTTGTAACACCCTATCCCCTATTTTATTTAGGCCTTAAAAAATATCTATTGCATTCGAATATTTAAAAAAGTATATATGATCTAACATAACAGCTTAAAATATTATTCTATTCTTTTTGATAAATATAAATAAATTATATTAACAAATTTTTGAAATTTAGCTTAATAAATTATGTAAAAAACGTAGAATTCCTTACTTATTTTTCACACCTATTTCTTTTTATAGATTTTCTATTTTACTTTCTTGATTAATGTATATATTTTAAATTAGGCAACCAAAATTATTCATCGTTTCCTAACTCTCCCGTTTTGCCCCTTACTTATGGGTTATTTATTTGCAAAATATTTTTCCGCGATGAGTAAAAAAAATTACCAAAAAAGTAGCTTTTTCGAACATAAGTACTTCATCGGCATCTATAATGGTAGCAAAATTACGGAGAGAACTTTCGATATCAGATACATTTGGGATTAGGTTGTAAACGATAGCTGACCAGGCCTATATATATATTTAGAAAATAATTGCTTTGCAGGTTATTATTTTTTCTCTAAAGATAAACCTAACCTCGTTATAGTGAACTTGTAGGTGCGAAATTATATAATATTATTCAGTCATAAAAAAACCAGACCTTATTTAAATTAGATATCATATTCGCTGGGAATTTAATTCTTCCTTAAATGCGTGAAAGATATGACGTAAATTTTAATATTATTCGATGCCTCGCTCATATCATAAATTCATAGTATCAAGGACTAATTTTCTCAACATAATTAGAAAAAGTTTGAGATATTGGTAAAAAAACTTCAGAAAAGTCGTTTCTGATTCAAGATTTTCTAAGTAATTGAAACCAATTAATATCCGTTATATTGATTATATTTAGGGAGTTACCGATATTTTTAATCGAATCGAGCAGGTTTTTCATCTTTATTAAAATATCGGTTTCCAGTCGATATGATTAAATTTACCGATTATATCAAATAAAATGAATATTTTTTAATTTTATTATATTCAAGGAAATATATTTATATAAATTAAGAACATTCTTATATAATTGTAGTTATAATCTAAAAAATACCTAACTCAATAAATATTAAAAAATATAATAAAATACATAATTTATATTTAAAAGATTGCATATAATTTTAAAACTCAAATAATTTTCAAAATTCTAACATTTATATTCATCAAGAATAGATTAGAGTATACACGATAGAAATACTTTTGGAACAAAAAAAATTACGATTTTACTATATAAATAAATGATTTATCATTGTTTATATTAGGGTTGAAAAAATTTGTATTTTTATGAGAAAACAAAAAAAATAATTTTTTTTAATTTTAATAGTAACGATTCAAATCAACTAATATTATAATCAGAGAAGTACAGATTTAGATAGAAAAATATATATCATAATTTTTTTTTACCTTAGTATATATATATATATAATATAACTTTGCAAGTAAAAGTTAATACTTCAGAGATCTGATCAGGAAATTGTTGAAAAAATATATATTGTTAATATTTTGTCAAATAAAAAGCCGACTGTTAATCAAGAAGTCTATAATTTGTATTTTAGGTTTGCAATTCCCTAGTCAGTAAATGTCTGAGATAAATTTATTTTCGTCTGGCAGGGTAAAAAAAATTGAAGGGCCAGGCTGGACAAAAAAATAATTGGACTGGATTATTGATGAATTCTGATATTTGATAGAAGTGAATAATGCATATTGTAGTGATTTAATTTAACTACTTCTCAATATTATAAATAATTTTATTTTGGTGTTCAACAACATATAATCGATATATGGGTCGGAAAGAAAATGAAATATTACCTAAATTATGAATGTCGTCAAATAAAACTGTTAAATAAAATTTAAAAATTTATTTTTTTGACAAAATAATGGTGTTTTATTAGTAATTTTACCTACTGTTATTTCTTAATTGGGAGTCTAATGCATTAGCTAGGGTTGTTAAAAGCCCGAATAGGGTCAATTTTTAAAAAAGATCCGATTAATATTTTAGCCAAAATAATATAAATAGAGGTTTTAAACCTTTCTGTATTTGGGTTGTTTTTAAAAATTGTCCAGAATAAGGGTTTTTAAAAACGTTAACATTAGTCCAATTTAAAAAGGTAAGGTAATATTTGCTCATTCGTTAATACTCCTAATTTAGAATAATTTTGATTATTAGTTTTGTGTCAATCTAAGCCGTTTAACACTAAATGCAGCTATTGCAATATTTTACAATGAATATACTATTTGGATAATATTTTACAACTATTATATTAAATTATAGAATGATAATTTTTCCTGGTAAATTTTGTTATTTATTAGCACCTGATTTTTCTTAAATTATATCTTCCTTTTGTCTTTAAAATATATATTACTTTGTATAAGCTCTCATCCCAAATAGAGGTACTGAAGCAAACTGCTTCAAACGGTTTTGAACGTATAGCTAATTCTTCACTTTTTTCTAAAAATGTCTTTTTTATATAAAGAAATAGTAGATTTAATAACAATTTATATATAAATAATCCAAATATAAACTATTATTTATTTTAAATATGTACAATTAATATAAATTTTTTTTGATAATATGCTTTTTAGTGATCTGCATCGGGCCTAATTTTTAAAGCCCGGCCCTAAATTTTCTTTAGAAAAGTTTTGCCGGCTCGGCCCGAACCCGAAATTTTTTTAAAAAGTTTTGCCGGCAAGGACCGAACCGAAATATTTTTAAAAGAAATTTATCGACCCAGCCCGGCCCGAATTTATTTAAATATAGAAATTAATCTTTATAATTACTCAAAATAAAAGACATATGTTATATGTCGTTTAGTTTCAATAAATAAAATCAAATATTTTATTTTACATAAAAAATTCACTATAAAATTGATAAATTTAGATATATTTAAAAAAATTTCCAAGGTCCGATCGGACCCGGCCTGAATTTTTTTTCAAGATATTAGGCCCGGCTCCTCGAACCGGGCCTAACTTTGCAGATCTCTAATGCTTTTATTTAAAAAAAAAACTTTTAATTTTCCTTCTGGTCCCGTTTTGATGAGATCCATCTTATGAATCAGGCAAAATACTTTTGTATCTGGCGAATTTTGGTGTATAGCTTCAAGGCATGTTTGATAATAGTGCAAATCTTTTTCTTTATCACGACTTTCAACATCAAACACATAGATTAAAACCTCTACATCACTAAATATACTTTCTCTCTGACTAGCAAAATAGTTTTCCATAAAGGCCTCTTGACTTTTTAATAAATAAATTGGTTGATATTATAATTGATAAAATTAAGCGTTTGATTTCCTCTTTATTTTCTTAAATTTTTGCTATGGTGATACTTTCACAGGTTTTTAAAATATTTAAAAAATGAAGAAATATTGGGCGAGCAGCCTTCTTTGATCGTTTGGACCATTTTCGGTCAAAATGGACGATATGATTATTCATATAAATTTATTAATATGAATTTTTATTCAAGTAGATTTATGTATTTATTTAATATAGATAATTCCAAGAACAGTATTAGAGATATAATCTTAACTTACAGATATTAAATAAGCAATAAAATGGACGAATTTATAATTAAATGACTTTACAATCATATATGCAAATCGAAATATTAAACGAAATTTTTAATGTATTTAATTTTTTTTTATCACATTATTAGTAATGCTAGGAAGTTCGTTTTTTTGAAAAAAATATTGTAAGGCATTCCTTTTCGATGAACGCGTTCGCGTTTTATGTTCGTTCAATTTTAAAAAATCTTCACATTTTTATTCATTTGAAAATAAAATATATTAATATAAATTTAAGAAAAAGGGGTATATTGATTTGAATATTATTATTTATATTTTATGGATTAGCATAAGCATAGATATTGGTTTTTCGTCATCCTCTGATTCTGAAAACTGAGAATACCATGGCCCAAATATAATAAACAATTTACAGTTAATGAGATCCATTTTTCCTTGTTAATACTTTTGGTGTTAAACTAATTCTATCAAATGTAAAATGTGTACAAAAAGTATATTAGTTTCAAAATATTCAAGTTCTAATTTAAAAAGACACTTTAATGTAATATTTATTATTTTATATAATATAACTGTAAGTAGCCCATTAATAATTTTAGATTGTTAAATTTCATAATCTAATCTAATTATCATTATTTTCAAGTTTTATAAAGGGTTTTATATTTTAATTGTTGAACATTAAAGTATTAAAAATACATTTAACTTATATTTATTTATATGAATCAAAATTAAACGATTAATTAATTGGAAAATATGTTGTGTTAAAATTTAAGACATTTATTTATATTTTTTTATAAGTGGTCGTTCATTGGTTTCTTTATTTGAATAGGCTATAGGAGAAAGGATAAGGGATTTTAAAAAGAGGATGTCTAAAAAAGAAAATAGTAAATAAAAACTAGGAGAAGGGAAGAAAGGAAATATAATGAGGCGTGGAAGATTATTTGATGGGTAGTGGCAAATCATTGCCGTAGGAAAGGGGATTCTTAGGCTTATCGGATTTTCACGATCTATCCAATTCTTTAAAAAAAGTTAAGTTTTGCTAACGAAGGTGGTGAGAATGGAGCAGACGATGGATATGAATGAGAAAGAAGGATCTATGGAACTATATTTGGTATTTTTGAACTTGTAGGTAAAAAATGAGAAAGCCGTTTATTTTAACTCGCTAGCACACCTGGTTTCTGAGATACAGGGCCTCAAAGGTTCAAAAAATAGTGACTTCTGTAAAATTTTAATTTTTAAAATGCTTATATCTTAAAAACTATTAATAGTAAAATAAATATTAAATGGTATATAAAAAAATCTCTAAAGACCTATAATAGGAAGAAAAAAATTAGGCCCCAATTGAGTTTTTAACTTCGGATTTACCTATATTGTTTTACCTAAGTTTTTGACAATAAGGGAGTTGGTTTTCGAAAATATTTCGTTTTATTTAGACACCTTTTATAAATATTTATAGGATGTGAAAACCTTTGCGATGTTATCGGCTCCCGAAATATGCATTTTTACCAAAAATGGAAATTTTTATTTGCATAAAATATGGCTATGCTTAAAATATTTGTCTTGTAAATGCCGAACAATATTATCATCACTCCTATATCAAGTTTGGGTATTTAATCTCATATTCATCCATCAAATATTGATAGACTAACTGCAATAAAATCTTTTTCTATCGTAAAGAAACAAGGTACAGACTTTTTAGCAAAACTTCTATGCAGAGGAAGTTTTAAAATTAGGCCATAGTGTTTATCAGAATAGTAAATAAAAAGAATTCTAAGGAATTATAAGGCAAAGCACAACCATTCAAATCGAGATTTGCATCACCTATTGAAGGTATCTATCACATATATGTTGTATTCCATATCAAATCAACTGAAGATTCAACCCGACCCTCTTCGATTTTTTTTAAAATTTGCATGATGGTAGTATATACACTAACTAGCAATAATATAAAATTTTAATTCTCAACTCAGCTTACTTCATGAGATATGGCCATCTTTAGAAACGCGAAAAGTTCAAAATACACCATATTTAATTTCAAATATCTCAAAAAGTAATTTAGCTAAAGGTATAATTTAAACTTTATTAAATAACTCTAGAATAGCCCTTTAATATGATATAAAATTTATTATATTAAAAATAATTTTATTACCAAAAACCGTAAATAGAAAACCGGAAATGGTTATAAAATAAAAATTGCCCTTTTTTTTTCTTTCAAAATTTTTTAACAAATAGACATTATATATATTAATATTTGTACAAAATCCTAGATTGGGACCATTACTGGGCCAGTAGTTATTACGCTTTAAATATAAATAGTATGGCTTAAATTCTATAATATACGAAATGAGTAGTTATTTTTTTCAGGGTTGTGCATTTGACCGGTCAAATACGTTTCGGTCAATTGACCGATATTTGACCGGCCAAATATGGTCAAATTCAAATATATTTTTTTAAAGTTAATATTATTATTTTGAATATAATAGTAAAATGAATCTATAATATTAATTTTTTAAATTCATTCAATAACTAACGTGTAGCTATCTGTATCAGAGTCTTGTTCTGATTCATATTCAATATTATCATTTTCTTTAATATTTTTTAAACAATTTTCCTGATATCTTAGATCTTAAATCGATTTCTATTTTCATAAGAATATTAACCCAAATCGACCTATTTCTTTCTAAAGAAGAAGTAGAACTAGGAATTGTTAGTCTCTTAATGGGCAGGGTAGACAAAGTTTAATCTATTAACTTGAGGTCGGAATTGATTGTTTCTGGAAATTACTACTTTCCACATATTTTGCTATATTAAACATGCTGTTTTTGCTTCTGAAATTAATTATATCACTTAAAATATTTTGGTCATCACTACCTTGTAAAATAGCTAATTCTTGAATTATATCACATACTTCATTAATTACACTACTAGTGAGTTCTCCTCTTGATATTGTGGACCCGAAAAATAAGCAAACATTGTGATCACATGTATTTACATCTTTTTTCCCTTTTTTAAACATATTTTTAATTTATTTTTACTTTAAATTTTTTAGAGTATTTGACCGTATTTGACAGGTCAAATACTCCTCCGGTCAATTGACTGAATTTGACTGGTCAATTGACCGACTTGCCAACCCTGATTTTTTAACAAAAGTGATAATATTTGTGAATAATAGTATTAAAACTGAAATCCGAACCCCATCTTAAGATTTATATTCGCCCCCCCCCCCCCCCAAAAAAAATTTCTTCTTAAATTCTAGATTTTTGACCTGGCAATACTATGAGTGAATTATGTAGATTATTTTCTTTGCCGGATAAAAAATTATCTTTGTGATCGTCAGAAATATATTTTCATAAAGATTATTTTCTACTTATAATTAATTATCAAATAAAATAATTATCATAAAAATCAAATTCAATTCCAACAGCAACAGCCGTCATTTTTATTGATTAATTTTATAAAGCCATTTTTCTAAGAAAATTAAATTATCGGTATTCATTATCCAATTTATTTTTAATTTAAAATAATTATATAAAATTAATAGATATCTTTTATTCCTTACCAAAAAAATTTAAATGTCTAGAAAAGTTATTTCTATTCCAGTAAAGTGCTGTAATCCTTTTAGAATAAAATCTCATTCAGTACGTTACTCTTAGAAATGTTTAACAATGGATGATAGAAGTGAATTCTAGCTTATCAATTAATCAAAAAATTTGTAGCTCTTGCCGGAAAAAAATATTCAACAAATCTGATCTCACCTTTTACTTCTACGATCCCGATCACATTACCTTTTATTTCTAACTTACCTTCTACCTCAACATTAATGAAACATTTAGCGATTCTGAACCTGACCAACCATGCAATAATCCCGACTCTTATACAGATTTTAATACTTCAATTTCAACTTTACATGAAACTTTACCATTTTTAGGGGAGACACCTATTAAAAAGAAAAGGTTATATTAACTCCTATGGATTTATATAATTATGCGAGAATTAATATCCCGGGTATTAATTATACATTTGTCAGCAACGTTGAATATTTATGAATGGAAACCAATCTCGAAAATAGATTTTTAACGGCCAAACTAGTTCCCGGGACACAAAAATATCATTCATTTATTCCAATGGAAGGAAAAATGAAAGTCAAACGTTATTCTAATTCATTAGATAATTTAATGTATGATATTATTTAATTTAATGTTTATAACAATATTAATTTTCCATTTGATATTCATGTAATATAAATAATTAGCTAAATAAAGTTATAAATATTTTTACAATTATTTTCTCTCTAAAATAAAATCGCTAAACTTATATGTTAAATATGACATAATGTCTACTAATGGGCTCACAGCCCGAAACATTTATAAAAAAAATATAATCGGCCCGATCATAAAGGAATTTTCTTTTTATTTGTTTCGTAAATTACTATTGGTATAATTTAGGATTTAAGCCATACTATTTATATTTAAAGCGTAATAACTATTGGCCCAGTAATGGTCCCAATCTAAAATTTTGTACAAATATTAAGAAGTATAATGTCTATCTGTAAAAAAAATTTGAAAGAAAATAAAAGAGCAATTTTTATTTTATAGCTATTTCCGGTTTTTGGTTAAGACTTTTTATTAATAAAATAATTTTTATATCATATTAAAGGGCTATTCTAGAGCTATTTAATAAAATTTAAATCATGCCTTCAGCTTAATTACTTTTTGAGATATTGAAAATTAAATATACTGTATTTTGGAATTTTCGCGTTTCTAAAGATGGCCATATCTCATGAAGTAAGCCGATTTGAAAAGTAAAATTTTACATTTTTATTAGTTAGTGTATATACTACCAACATAATTTTTAAAAAAATCGAAGGGGGTCGGGTTGAGAATCGACTTTTTTTGGTTGATTTAATATGGAATACAACATATATATATATATGGATTTTGAAAAGTCTGTCATGAGCCTGATTAAAACTATCATTGATATGATTATTAATATATTTATTTTAATTGGGATCATACTGTAATCAGAGCCTTTACAATTTGTGTCAAAGTACACATAGAAAAATTCAGAGGCTATGTCTGGAAAATCAATACAGGACCGATAAAACTAAGATTCTTTTGTGGCATGATGAATGGCTTAGCCTTAGTTCCCTTATATGATATTACCAATGCAATGACATTCTTAAGAACCGTTACTCCTAACAATGGAAAAATATTCTCAATTGTTTTGATGAAAATTATATCAATTAAGTATCAATGTCAAAAGAGGCAATTCCCAGACCTAGATGAATCAAATAGAGTCATGATTTCCACTGAAAATCTGGAACGTTAATCAGAGTACCCTCTATCCGAAGAAGAACAAACAAAAAATAATGTGAAATGGAGCAATCGTTTTTATAACCTTGTTGAAAATAAACATTTGATTAAGAAAATAATGTGAAGTGGCTTCTGGTAAGACCAAACTCATATAATGGTGTGTTGGTAGATGGACACTGATTTCATAATAGTAAAGCTATAATAACCAAATTCAGGGAAAAAGACTTTGCAGGGAATACCTTGATGAAGTTCACCATCTGCCAGAATTTACAATACTGATTTCTGTTAATATTAGATGTCAACTTATATAATTATTATTTTTTGTTTATAGATATGCCTTACCTAATAAAATAAAAATATCTTAAATTTAATCCAGAGGTTTAGCTTGTAATTTTTCTCAATTATCCAATATTTTAGCAAAAATGATTAACTAAAATAATTTTTTTTTGATTGCTTCCCTACTAGTAAACTTGACACTTTGTCACTGGTAATTATAGAAATTTTATTCCAGAAATTCAGGGAATGATAAATTCAAAATATAAAAAAATAATAATTATTTATTTTAAATTAACAAAGAGGAAATATAATGTATTAATAAGAGAATATAACTTTATAAAATAATATACATTATAATTTTTGTAAAACATCAATTTATTTAATAATTACTGAATAAAAATATAGTTTATTTTCTTTTATCACTCCATTCATTACATATTTATTCTCAATTATAATATTTTCTATTCTAATTTTAATATATTTCACATATTAATAAGCAATTAAATAAAAACTTTATCTGAGAATAATAAAAACTAATTATAAGATAGATAATTTAAATTAAACTTACCCACCACAATCCCATAGGCTTAGAACTAAATTCCCAAGGAATCGAACATGTGAATGCTCCACATCAACTATATGAGATTCTAATATAAATTCGTCATACAAAAGATTAATAACTAGTTGCGCCAATTCTCCTTGTGTCTCTAGCAATGTAGTTTGCAAAAATTATTGATCTCATAGATGTCTTTCCTGCACCACTCTTACCCATCAACAATACCTGTGTAATAGTTATATTTATACAAATTATTTATCTGCAATAATTTAATATAAAATTACCTTCTTTTTCATTATACAACGCCTATATTCTTGGTCTATTATTCTCTCATAACAAAGATTTCTTGGAAGTATTATGAACGAGCGCCACTTATTGCTTGCTAATTACTGACCAATCTGGAAATAACCATCAGATAGTTTTAAAAAAACAATATATATATATATATTCATTTTTGAGCCTACAGAGGTTTCACCAGTAAATTTTAAAGTTTCATAGAATGTGCACCTTCGTATAAAATTTAAAAATATTGGTAAGTTAAATGTATGATATACTTATATTTAATGGAGTAATTTATTTATGGAATTTAACATTAATTGTCACTAATTAAAATAAAAATGGCTTTGATATTTCATAAAGATGGTCGCCCTTATTACTATACCTTTTGGTACAGTATACCTTCGTTATTTAAATATTAAACAAAACTTTGGGAAATGCTTAATAGATCTGGACTTTTGAAATTTATCTTTGATCATTTATTTAATTTTTATGTAATTATTTATCGGGTCTTATGGATTAGACATGTTTTTCACTTTCACTAGGGTTGATATGTATGGTCAGATAAAATTGTTTGTTAATTATAGCAATAAATTGATTTGCTATATTCTAATATATACAATATTAATAATTTAGAACATATATAATTAACCAATAATTTTTATAAAAAGGATGTTTAAAATTAAAAATAATCTAATATCTTACATTCTTTATTTTTATCTATTTATTTGTAGTAAATAATAGATTAGGATAGGGTTAGATTAGTGTTATATAATTTTGTATGTATATCTCAAAAAAAATATTAAATAACCAAATTATTAAATAGAGCTGTGTTGTATGTTTTATTTATTTATCAATTTCCAGCAGAGTTTTATGGTTTATTTATTAATTCCTTTGTTAAATTTTATGGGATTTGTAGTAATTTATATTTAAGTAATATTTTCTTTATCCCTCATGCAGGGTCTACATAAGGATAGGGGGGGGGGGTAGATATTTAAGGATTAGGATAAATTTATTGGGGGGAGGGGGAGGGTTATCTATTAAATTTCTAAGTGAAATAGGAGAAAATTTATTGCTGTAAAAATTAATTGAATTTAAATTGAATATAATATTAACTTTTCGTTTGTAAATTACATAACCTGAAGGATTGAATTTATTATATATATATACGTGATATTTTGTATTAAATATACTTTTACTTACTTTACTTATTTTACTTATTTAATAAAACACTTCATTGGCGATTTTTAGAGAAGATTTATTTGATTTATTAAATTTAAAGTAGACTCAATGGAAGTAGCTCCTATTAAAGTTGAAGATTCAATGGAAGTAGTTCCTATTAAAGTTAAAGACTCAATGGAAGTAGTTCCTATTAAATTCCATATTCCAGAATTCGTCAAAGAAAAAGTAAATATTCAGGACTACTTATTTAACTTGGAGTTAATTTATAAAGTAAGAAATATTATAGATTTAAATACAAAAAAAGACCTGCTTTTAGCCTATATCGGAACAGACAATCTTATCAAAATTAAGAACTTTCACTTTCCAATAAATTTAGAGATGATAAATTATGATACTTTAATAAAAAGCTTAAATTTGGTGTTCAAGGATAGGTCGAGCATTTTCGTAAATAGGAAAAATTTTTTTACGCTAAAAAGATGCAATGAGACGATTATTGACTTTTCAATTAGGGGTAAAACTGTATGATCTCTTTGTAATATTAAACCGCCTTTTGATGAACTTTTAAGAGATATATTTATCCTAGGAGTAGGCTTACCTGAGTTGGACAAAGAACTTCGGTCAAAGTATATCGAAGGCAATATTATTTTTGAAGAGACCGTGCGTTTAGCGATCGCGCTGTCTTTGTTGGAAAATGAAACCCAGACTGAAGTTAATAAAATAATTAAAAATAAGCCAACACAGGGTTCGAAAAATAATTATTTTAGAAATAATAATTATACAAACGTCAATAGATTCAATAATAATAAACACTTTAGTAACAATTATATTCCTAATAATAATTATAGACCTAGTATCAAACCTAACTCTATTCAAAAGAAAGTGATATGCTTTCGTTGCGGTAAACCACATAGCGAAAGATTGTAGAACCCATGCCATACAAATGATTCTGCCACGGACACCTCGCCTGTCATTTTCAAATAAAGCAACCATCGATGCGAAGATAAATGGGTTGCAGCTAGCTATGGAGTTTGATACCGGCGCCGCATGTAGTGTGATTGATGAGGTCACCTGGAATCGTATTGGCAGACCACAACTATCACCGGCTTATAAATTAGTGGGATATAATCATATCCATATCGAAGTACTAGGTAAATGTACCGTAGAAGTCAAAGTAAAAAATATTTCAAATTTTTACTTATTTGGGTAGTTAAAGGGGAGAATTCCCTTATTTTTGGGATGCCTTTCATTAGAGAATTTGATATAAAACTACCGGAAGAAGTTCGTATTAATAAAATAAATATGAATGTTCCCTCTTTAAATACGATTGCTTCAAAATTCCCTCAAGTTTTTAAAAAAAAATTAGATAAAATCAAACTGCAAAAGGCAGTCATCCGTAAAGAACCGAACACGTTACCGATTTCATTACCAGCAAGAAAAGTTCCTTTTCCGTTGCGTCGAACCATTGAAGCTGAGTTGGACAGAAATTTAGACGAAGGAGTTATCGAGAAGGTGGATCCAACAATAACTCCAATCACTTGGGCTACGCCAACGGTTAATATCTTAAAGAAATCCGGTGCCGTACGGATATGCGGAGATTTTCGTTTAACAATCAACAAATATGATAACGATTTACTACCAACTTTCGTCGACCTAACATATAAGATCGCGGGTGGTAAAATATTTTCAACAATAGATTTAAGAAATGCATTTTTACAATTCGGAGTTAGTCCAGAATGTAGGGACCTTTTAGTAATTTCGACACATGTCGGTTATTACCGATACCAAAGAATTCCATTTGGTTTGACTAGCGCTCCGATAATATTCCAACGCTTTATGAAAAACCTATTAAAGGGAATTCCTATGGTTAGTGTATTTTTAGACGACATAATTATTGCAGGTGAGAATAATTACGATCACATAGTTAATTTGGAAGAAGTATTAAGAAGATTTGAGAAGGCTGGACTGACCACGACGACCGATAAAATTAAAATTGGAGAAAAGTCAGTAACTTATTTAGGTCATGTTATTGACAGTTTCGGAATTCACTCTACAGAAGATAAGATTAGCGCTATAAAAAATTTTAAAACACCTTCCAATGTTAAAGAACTACGTTCATTTCTTGGAATAGTGAATTATCATGAGGCATTTATTAAAAATTTGCATTCTATTTGTGCGCCTTTACACCGACTAACGAGTAAAAATGTTGGTTGGTTTTGGTCAGCTAAAGAAAATGAAATATTTACTAAAGTTAAAAATATATTGTCAAAAGAAGATACAATAATTCCTTATTCAGCCGATATCCCTGTCGTGATTTCTTGTGACGCTTCCGAAGATGGTCTAGGAGCTGTTATTGCACACCGATTTCTTACTGGCCAGGAGAAACCGATTGCTTACGCATCGAGGACATTTTCGGCGGCTGAAAAGAATTATGCCACAATTGATCGGGAGGCTTCGGCGATCATGTTCACTATTGAGAAGTTTCATCAATATATTTTTGGAAGACATTTTATCTTGGTTACTGATCATAAACCATTACAATATATTTTAGGTGATAAAAGAGATCTTAACATAATAACAAATAACCGTTTAATACGGTGGGCGACGAAACTATTAAATTATGATTATGAGATAATATATAGACCAGGTAATCATAACAAATGTGCCGATGCTCTGTCCCGTTTGGGGGTAGAGAAAGCAAAAACCAATGATGTTACAAAAAAATTCGAAGAAGAAATCAGAGGATTAAAAATTAATTTAATAGAAGATTTATCTTTCACTCGCAGTAAAGTCGTAAGTGAAACGAGCAATGATATAAACCTAAAAGAGATTATTAAATTAATAAAAAATCATTGGTATATTGATAATATAAATAATTATTCGGAGATTGTAAAAAAATATATTTCGATTAAAGATAATATTTCGTTCGAAGAAGGATTATTATTTTATAATGATAGAATTATTATTCCAGATATTTTAAAAAAGGAGGTTTTATATGTGATTCATCGAGGACATCCTGGGATAGTAGGGATGAAATCATTGTGTAGATATTACGTTTTTTGGACAAATCTCGATACTGATGTTGAAGACTTTGTTAAATGTTGTAAGAGTAGTCAAGAAGGAAGGCCGGGAGCTAAAGAAGTGCCGTTATACAATTGGAACATTCCTACCCGACCTTGGGAACGATTACACATTGATTTGACAGGCCCTGTATCTGGAAAGTATTGGTTAATTTGCGTAGACGCTTTTACCAAATGGGTTGAAGTTGCAATTTTAACACATATTAATTCGGCGAGTGTAATAAATAATCTGCGTAATTATTTCGCTAGATTTGGGTTACCTCGCTACATTGTCCCAGATAACGGTAGGGGAGACCGGGGTTATATTGTCCATAAAAAATTGAGAGGCTGTGAAAAGGAGGAGAAATAATTTATCAAAATAATTTTGATGTTATTTTATTCTTTATATAATTATCTACGGTAGAAATTAATATCTAATAAAAAAATATTATATATTTTTTTAAATTTAAATTTAAAAAAAATGAAAATTTTTGAGTCATGAAAAAGAGACGGGGGATGTATTATCCTTTTGTGGGGCATGTTTTAGACTATCATTTTCTAAGCATTTTATTCATTTTTTTCATATAAAAATCATAACAAACATATAATATTAACATACAACACATTTATTACATATAAAAAATGGATTAAAATCACAACATGATCCATGTGCCCATAAATGACAATCCAATCATCATTATGGTGGTGAGTTTGATAGTTTTTGTGGCACACTAAACAAAATTCTTTTTTGCCAGCATTCATATTTAAACTTTTTTTATTATTGGTTTGATTTTTTTTTCAGATTATTAGCCCTAGATCTGGCTATTTTTTTGTAAGGTGAAGAGGGGAGGGAGAGTCAATAGAACTATACCACTGTCAGAGCACAGCTCAATGA